AATAAACGTATCCAGGTGTTAGAATGGCCAAGTCAAAGTCCAGACCTGAATCCAATCGAGAATCTGTGGAAAGAGCTGAAGACTGCTGTTCACAAACGCTCTCCATCCAACCTCACTGAGCTCGAGCTGTTTTGCAAGGAAGAATGGGCAAGAATTTCAGTCTCTCGATGTGCAAAACCGATAGAGACATACCCCAAGCGACTTGCAGCTGTAATTGCAGCAAAAGGTGGCGCTTCAAAGTATTAACGCAAGGGGGCCGAATAATATTGCACGCCCCACTTTTCAGTTTTTTATTTGTTGAAAAAGTTTAAATTATCCAATAAATTTCGTTCCACTTAACGATTGTGTCCCACTTGATGTTGATTCTTGACAAAAAATTAAAAGTTTATATCTTTATGTTTGAAGCCTGATATGTGGCGAAAGGTGGAAAGGTTCAAGGGGCCAAATACTTTCGCAAGGCACTGTATATATGTCTATATATATATGTATATGTATACATGTCTATGTATATATGTATATGTATACATATATGTCTATGTATATATGTATATGTATACATATATATGTCTATGTATGTATGTATATGTATACATATATGTATATATGTATGTATATATATATATATATATATATATATATATATATATATATACACACTGTATATATATACAGAAATAGGAGATTAACATTGTGGAAATGCCTAATCAGCATTTCATTTTGCTTTATTTTTAGGTGAGTTGACTACCATCTTCTAATTTACAGGTTTCATTGGTTTGAATCTGTTTTACATTCATTGTACAATACAGTACAGTACAATTACAATTACAGTAAATATTGTTCATTCGCGCATCTAGATACACACGAATGAAGTGAGAAGATTATTTTATTTGTGCTTGGTGTGAATGCACGGTAGGACAGTATTTAAGCATGTTTGGGACAAGTTCAGCAGAGACTTCTTTGTCTACAGGGGTACCAAGGTTGATACAAACCCGAAGTTCCTCACAGGATCTTTAAAGGGGATATAAAACAACAAAATGAACCCACACCATAGCAATGTGGGGATTGATATGACTCACTCAAAAAAAATGCTTCAAAAGTCTGCTGTTTTAGAGAAATCTGATTTTAAAGACACAGTTGGTGGGACAGTCTGTCGACCCAGTGTCGTTCAGAGAGAAGTCAAATACAGAGGAAGATGCCTCTAATTTCGGTCATTTTGAGCAACAAGTCACAAATACGCCTGCGTTATTAAAAATGCTTTCCACTGTAGTCTTGAGCAACAAAGTGCTGCTTACTACAAACCCTAGCATAGCTGTTCAATGGGGGTCCTTCCTTTTCATTGCTGCTAGACATCAGTGTGGACAAATTTGTAATTCACTGGATTCACCAGTAAGCTAAGCAGCTAGCAAAAGTTAGCACCTATAGTCCGACACTTGTTTATCCCCAAATCATGTTTGAGCACATGAGACTTTTTTAAGAATTGCAGTTCTGAGAGTCGGTACTCCAGCTGCTGGTGAAGACAGTCTTCATTTGTGTTTTGTTTGTCTCCACACACCAGAACTGTCGTCATTGGTCCTCGTGTTGGGTCTCTGACAGTGATACAAAGAAGCAACCGAGTACTAAATAAACAACACAGTGTAGGTATTGAATAAAACAAAACTGCAGCAACTGTATCAGTCTGTGCAGTAAGTATGATGTGCTCGTGTTAGCATGAGGATACTTTAGTTGCTAAGCTAGCATTGTGAGTAGTCTTGAATCAACTCTCACCTGTTGAAATTTTTGGAATGTTTTACAATATATAAACTGTACTGATCCCCAAGGTGAAATCTGGGAGATTTGCTCACACTCCCCTTTCTTTCCTGTGTTGGTCTTACAGGGAGGGGCTCAGGTGGTCTTAAAGGGCTGGATTTCAGTGCTGGACCACAATCATCACCCATCAACCCACTGTGGAGCCCCGCCCGGCCTGCACTCTGCACTCTCCTGTTCGCCTGGCACAAACCAGGAGGAAAGCCTTAATAAGAAAGGAATCAAACTTCACAGACTGTAGTTATGGTTCCTCTGTTTGGAAACACGTAAATCCTGTCCTTTATAACCACTCTGGACCCCGTGACACTTCCTCACACATGGACTTATCAAAAGCACAGTCTGGTGCCTGGAAGACCTGGCTGATGATCCATCTCCTAAAACATGAGCTTCGCCAGTCTGAGGTCATTCCTTCTAATAGTTATGGGGCTGGATTACTGCGGCTTGGCCTTCTAGGAAAGAAATCATACAAGTGATGGTTTTTATTTTTCTACGCACAGTTACATGGCGTGCTGGGATCACTCTGAGGTTTCCCCACAGCTGGAACTGCAATTGTTATCGCTGTTATGATGTGAACACTCATGGATGTTTTTGGATTGTTCTTCTGCTATGTAAATAAAACAGAGGACATCCCAATGAAAGGACAACCTCACAGAGTACAAGAGAGGAGATAAGTGAATAAAGTATTTTGAATATTTGACAGTTAAAGCTGTAGCATTCATATTCCTTCCCCAGTAGGTGCCATTGACTGTTTTTAAAACAATATGTTATTACACAGATTAAGGTTTTCAGAGGCTCTCTTTGTATTCGGAACAAAACTCATGTAAAGGAAGAATGGAGGGGATTTTCACTGGCAAGGTAGATGTTTTACTATGTGTATTTTCTATGGACTTAGGAGAAAGTGAATATTTTAATAGAAAAAAGTTTAAAAGAAGGAATTTTCAGAGGTAAATAGCGGAAGAAGGAGTAAGCACAGGTGTACTTTGAGTGTAGCACTGAAGCAGTGATCATTTTCAGCCTTTTTTGGGGGGGAATAATTAGCTAAATGCATGGCGTGCAGATCCAATCTACACCTGTGCTACGTGAGGTCACAGGAATTGTAAATGTATGACACGTGGAGCAATGTCTTAAGGAAGAGAGGCTTGTTGGTACCATGATATGGGAATCAGACTTAGCTCCTGGTTGGTGAAAATAAATGAAAAATATTCTTTCCACTCTTTCAGAAATAAAGAGAAAGTGAGAGAAAAGACTGTCACAGAAGTCTTTATTTAAATTCTGCCTTCTCTGCTCTTCATCTCATGCAAAACTTTTATTTTGACAGGACTCAGGGAAGTGTGGCAAGAGCAGCAAAGTCAGTCTGAATGCGAAGTGTAACGTACTGTGTACTATGATGCACCCAGGAGATTTCTTTCTTTTTTGTTGTTTTTTAAGGTATCTGTGAATTGGTGTATTCTGGTAAACTTGGGTTATATGCAGAGCTTTGGTCACCAGTACTTTTAACCTTTTATAAAAGAGTTTACTGTGGAATGAAATATATATACAGCATCCATAAAAAAGTTTGAAGGAGACAGGTTTAATACGGCAAACCAATGTAAATTGTTAAGAGCTTTCTAGGACCTATCATACCCTGAAAAACCACTCGGTATTGATGTTTTTTCATCACAAACTGAAGATTAAAAAGGGACCTCACAATTAACTAATGTAGCTTAACAAGTAGGAGTATAGTTAAAGCTTTTTTCTTTTGTGTTAGCTTCTTTGGTGCTCTGGTTAACACTTACACTTAACCATTTGATGCTACAGTTGGAATTTGGAATGATTTACCCTTTTGATTCCACTACCAATATGGATTTGTTTATTTTTCTGTCATTCAGTTTGGTGTGTAGGATTTATATTTGGTCATTTAGCATTTGGCAGATAACGAATTGTGAATGTTAATAAAATCATATACTCTATCTATTGGCCCTGTGTGTTGTGTGGTTTCAACTTGAGATTAACAGTACCGGAAGATGAGTTTTTATCAAGAAACTTTTGATTTCCTTCTCAAAATATTTGTGTTACACTGCTAAACTTTTGCACCACCACCTAGTGCAGTGGTTCTCAATCCAGTCCTCGAGCCCCCCCCTGTCCTGCATGATTTGGATGTTTCCCTGCTCCAACACACCTGATTCAAATGATCAGCTTGTTATTAAGCCATTACAGCAGTGGTTCTCAATCCAGTCCTCAATCCCCCCCTGTCCTGCATGTTTTGGATGTTTCCCTGCTCCAACACACCTGATTCAAGCATTATATCCATAGACTGTATATAGAATGGATGCCATCTGCCTTCTTGCTGGATGAAGCCACTGCTAGAACAGCATCCTCTGGTGATGGCTGCAATGTAGGTCATAAATTCCACCTCCTCCAGCAATCATAATGGAGTTGTTGACAAAGTTATTAGGGGGTTAATGTTTTATATGATTGACACTTCATACAGCTTATGGGTATACAAAGATTGCATTGCTCATCCGTGGAATACACTGTTTGAGCCGAGCATCATCACAGTGACTCTCCCGCCAAATGCGAACAACGCTACTGCACAAGTGGTGGTTCCAGGAAGTGGAGAAAGTCCCAGAATTACTGAGAGTAATTTTACTTCAAATCCGAATAATGACAGATGGCGGAGCCAAATTGTCCATAGTATATACAGTCTATGATTATATCCCAGTGGGTTTGAATAACTTAAGAATCTTTGCATTTCCCTCAGCATACGTTTGCATTTTCTTAAAATTCACGTATTCATATTGCAAAAACTTTTGCCATTCTAGTACTTTTGAATAGCCTTACAATACTCCTGTAATCCCCCAGTGAAATTCTGCATATCCGTACTATATATGTTCCATTACATAACTGAAGCATATCCTCTAAGTCCTTCTCAATGCCTTTACATCCCCTTGGTGTATTTTTGCATGTCCCTTGAAATTTTTATATTATCTTGGAAAACAGTTGAACAACACCCCATTACTTTGGAATTACCTCACAACTCTTCTGCAGTCATTCAGTGTGTTTCTGCAGTTACTCACAATTCTTTTGTATTCTTGCCAAACTTTTGCAGAACCCCTTGTGGTGAGACGCCTCCATCTCCGGTTTTATTTTGGTGGAACTTCCTGTTTTCTTTGTGTCCCTGGTCTGGCTTGACTGTCTTTCAGAACACTCCCCCTCCCCCCGGTTGCTGAGGTTGAGAGAGACTCCGGACCTGCCCTGCATTGGCAATCAAGCCCCTTGAAGAAGCCAGTAGCCCTCAGTCTCAGCGCCTGAGTATTGTCTTCACTCCTGAGTGGTACAGATGCCTCTCCTGGCCTTCTCCTTGGATAAGTGCTCATGACTTTTTTGCTCCTTGTGATTCCTTGCATGTCTTCTCACTTCCTTCTCCTCTGCTTCTCCACACTAGCTGCGTTTCCATTACCCATAGATTTGCGCAAAACCTAAATATCGCAATAGAAAACTGGTAATGGAAACACCTAAATTTCGAAAAACCTCCCAAATATCGCTAAAAAGTTCTTACGCTCTCATGAGGTTGTTTTTCAGACGTGTCGATACAGAAGTATATCGCAAAAGTGTAATGGAAACACTAGCAAACAACAGCGAAATGCAGAGTTGTACAAGGAGCTAGAAGGGGAAATAAGGGAGAAGGGCTTTGAAAAGCCGTGGCAAATCCTCCACAGCAAGTGGAAAACCCTGAAACAACGTTACCTGGCTGAAAGATGGATCCTGAGCAAAAGTGGAGCCGGGGGGAAGATTACAATAAAGTTCAAATTCTTCAATGCCATGGACAGCATTTTGGGTCATCGACCCATCGTGCAAGCAATGTCGTCAGTCATAAACAGCGTGGGTAAGTCCCAATTATTTCGTTTTTATACGGCGTGACGAAGTTAGCAAACGTGCTAACATAAGTGTATGTGCTAACGCTAGGTTTACTTGGGGTTATGACACCTTTTATCTTTCACCGTTAATCTATTTTCAAAGTTGGGTCTGGGAGCTGGGTCTATACAGACCTTCTCCGGAGTTCTCCAAAATACTACAAAGGTATATTTATGTACACATACTTATGTATACATACAATAGGGCTTCTCATCACAATCTAGTTACAGCTCCACTACCTCATGAAATTTGGCTGGCACATTTACATCCTGTCTTACATTATTGGCCAAACTGATTAATCCAGGTGTGTCTGCACCAGTCACAACAATCAGACACATCTGCTCTAATCAGTTTCGCCAATAATGTAAGACAGGATGTAAATGTGCCAGCCAAATTTCAGGAAGTAGTGGAGCTGTACAACTAGTCTATTGTTGGCCTAATTTGGCCTAATTCTTTTTTTTTTTTTTCAACAAAGAAAAAAGATATATTTTGTGTTAACAAAATGTGTGAAATCAGACACCACACATTAAATTTGAAACAAACCATTGCCATGTGGCTTTCTTTGTGTTACTCTAATAACTATGTACTATCACGCAAGTGGGGTAAAGCTAAGGTTAACTTTGCTTCTGATCTTAGTCATTTGTTTGCTTGTGTGGGGAAACTGACGAGCTGTGACCAAGTGCTTCTCGGATCTCAACGGCTCCTGCATCTGGTTGGTCCTGATGATGTTCCTGTGGCTGTTGAGCATGGGGCACTGTAGGATGTAATGCCGCAGGTGGTAGCTGCTGGTTTTTCTTCTCGAATATGTTGTGGAGAACACAACATGTGGCCACCACCATCGGCATGAAGGTATAGTCTATATCAGACTGCTTGGACAGTACATGCAATCTTGCCTTCAGGTGTCCGAAGGTGTGCTCAACTTTCACACGGATGGCACTTAAGTGTTCATTGAAAGTCTCTTGTGTAGCTGTCAGATTGGGCCCGGAGTAGCCCTTCATGACCCAGGGTAGTAGTGGGTATGCTGGGTCACCAGCGAGGTGTAGTGGCACTTGGACTCCTTCTACGTCCTTTGATGCTTGGGGGTGTTTAGCTGGATATCTGAGGACAGCACAAATATGTTTGTAGTTTGTTGTGGTACACTCTAAAACTTAATCACACTTAATGTAAGCCAAAATCACTTAAATAGTAACTTTTCACATAAACAAAAAGCACCCCAAGGAAATATTTCTTGAAACAAGATAATTATGCATATTTTAGGTTTGTTTTAACCTAATACAAGCAATAAATGCTCTATACCTCACTGAAATGTTACAAATTAGATGATTTTGACGTATGAGATATTTGACTAATGTACTTGGCAAGATTTGGCGTTTTACCGTAACAGATGTGATGTGGCAAACACAGCAGCATCATGAGAGCATCCAGGGGATCCCACGCAGATGTCCCTGATCATCAATCTATCATCCACAACAGCCTGCAGGACAATCGATGTCCAACCCTTCCTGTTAATGTAGTCGCGATAGCCATCGCTTGGTGCAAGAACAGGTATGTGGGACCCGTCGATTGCGCCGTAGACCTGGGGTACTTTGTGTGCCTCGTAATTGTGCTGTGCAATCTCCAGGGCTTCGTCCACGTCTGGTAAACTGACTTTTTGCTTTATCAGCTTGCTGCATATGGCTTGGCAAACCCCATACACACATCTGTGCACAGTGGTTTTGCTGACACCGAAAGTTTCGCCTACGACCCTGTACTCAGAGCAAGTTGCCAGTTTGTAACGTGCAATAGCCACTCGCTTCCGAGTGGGAACTGCCTCCCTGGGGCTTGACATGGCGGATGCCACAAGAGGCTCAATAGCATCACACAGTTTATTGAACGTATCTCGGGTCATCCTGAAGTTTTGAATCCACAATTCATCTGTGAATTCTTCACTAACAATCCAATCCCAAAAATCCCTCATCCGTGTCCGCTCCCATACATACCGGCTTTGCCTTTGAATTATCACCCGCTGCCTTCGTCTTCTGATGACAGCAGTGGCAACAGCAGTAATGGTAACAGAAATAGCTGCTCCAAAACACAAAATGTTTTGTATCTCCTCCATGTTGGTGTGCAAAAAGGCGGAATACGAGGTTGCGCGGGCAGGAAGTTTACCTCATTGCTAGGCAACAGCCATTCAAACACGTCTCGCGAGAGGCAGACGGCTCGCTTATGCACTGAACACCATTCAATGGAAACACCCGCAAATCGCAATTGTACTTTGTCGAAATTTGATAAATATCACTTTTATTTTGCGAAAAAATGTAATGGAAACGCAGCTACTGTCTCCAGCCCACACAACAGCCAGACAGCCAACCGAATTTCTCTCATACCTTTTTCCCCCTGAGTTTGGACATTAAAATGACATCTTTTAACTGGATATCTGTCTCTGAGTCTGCTTCTGGGTCCGCAAAATACACCACACGCCACATACCCTGTTGCTTTTGAAAAACCTCACACTGGCCCTCATTTATCAAGCTTGTGTACGGCAGAAAACTTGTGTAAACCTTGCGTACGACAATTTCGATGTGAGGATTGGCATTTATAAATCTGCACGTGAACGTACGCTATGACTAAATCTGACGACAGGTCTACAGGCTACATTACAAAGACGCAACAAATTAAAACTAAATACTTTCCATTATAGGAGCAACGTACCCTATGTCATGGAAATAAACAAATATGAGGCATGTATGAGACACTAATTTATCATCATGAGCAACGTATTGACTAATGATTTATTCAAACTTCAGCTACTGTCCACTATTTCACGGCAGCGCTGTTCACCGCCACCATAATCCTGCTCCAGACAGGAGTTTTCTGGACTGCTTTTATACCAGTTTTGATGCTTACATAGAGAAATTCCTTGTTGGTTTCCACCACAGACACGAGGATATCCACTTTCAGCACGGAAAAGTTTTGAAACTTTCTAATATTTCTCCTCTTTCATGTTTGACCTCAGTGGGCGAGGCTTCTGAACCACGAATATTTAACAGCGTAAATGTTAAAGGTCTCAGGTCAAAGACCCATAGGCAGATAAGGTTATTCTGCTGGAAAGCTATGGTATAGCCTGTTAAAACAGGATTGAAAGAATGAGACAATCACAACGCTATTTCCCAGTCAGCCTTCCTCAGTAGAATGCAGCATATTTATTGAATCACAGCCTAAATTATCTCCTTTTTTCTCCATATTTTAGCTATTCACATGTTAGTTACTGTTATACTCATTTGGCATATGTTGACCAAAACAAAGAAGAATACAAGGAATGCCCCTTTAATATCTGTCATAGACAGTAGTGCCACAATTAAGTGGAAATAAGCTAGCACTTTGCAACAAATATCAAATACTAACCAGGCTACTCGGTAAGTATGCTAGTAGTAGTGCATGACTGAGTTCAAGTATTGGCTTTGGAAAAAACGTTTTTAAGCTACATGCTTTAAGTGCACAAGAATATATAAAACTCTTACTATGAAAATACTGTCACCAGAAATCGTTTTTACCACTTCTAACTTAATGCAAAGAATGAACTGGAGCCCAAAACCGCAGTGTATCCTGTCGTGGAAGTTTTTCTCTTCCGTCGCTGCTGGTGAAGAATGAAATAGAGACTTAGAAAATAAAACAAGGTTTTATTTTCTTTGCAAGGAAAAGGTCAATCTGCATCCAAGCGGTCAGAATCAAGAAAGACCCAGAACATGGGGAAACCTGAACATTTTATGCTTGAGGACCGCCCCTCAGAGGGCAAGGAATGGGGCTTTGATGTTGGCACCTTTTGTTTTCTGTGGGGACCGTCACTTCACCCCCCCGGGGTGGTGGTGATGGGGGGGACGTTTCACACCTGGAAAATTCTGCAGGATGTTGTTTCTTGAAGTCTACACATCATGATTAACTTGAAGTCTGTTGTGGGGGGCACCTCAAGCAGTTCTTAACAAAGACATTAAAATTACAATTACAATTCTCCCTTTTGATTATTAATTAATCACTAACAAAAAGCAAACTTAAAAGTTAAAATAAAGTAAAATAGAAAAAAGGAAAAGAGAGAAAAAAAATCCTATTACAACTCAATTATCTGACACATTAATTCACATAGATTTAAAATGTATTTTCATGACAGTTGTTTAGAGAAGAAGAGGGAGAAGAAGAGGAGCAAAAAGATCCATCCTCCCTCAGTTAGTATGATGACGAGAGTGAGTCTGTGTTGGATAACTGCTGTTCTAATTGCAAACCTTTCAGTGTTCATTAAGGTGGGAGCAGCTTCAGTTTGGTCTGCTAAGGAAAGGACAGACAAGGGGCCTCATGTATCAACGCTGGCGGCGCCAGAAAACCTTGCATCCGCCAAGATCGGCGCACACGTCCAGATTTATCATCGCGAAACGAGCGTCGGTTCCAGCGCTAATCAACGCAAAGTGAGGAGGTGGTGTAGAAGTTGGCGTTGAGCCGATACTTGCGTTGACGGCACTTTGGCGACGCTGTGTGGCGGTGTTTGGTGACTCACTATGTGACAAGCGTGCACCACATCCCCGTGGCCGAGCAGCACGTCGCCCCACATGACGAACCAGCAGCAGACGGAGGGATGCGAGCTGATCCCTGCCGGGCCTCATCGCCACAGTGTGAATGGGTAAGAAGTGAATACACAGTTCAATGAGCCAAATTTATTTATTTTCTCCACCAGACGCTTGAGGACATTAACGAGCCAGTCCAGCCGCTCGTTGATCCCCGCGATCCCCCTGATGATTTCTTCCTGAGATTGCAGGACCGCCTCTGTGAGGACCCTTCCACTGCGTCCGGGTGGTCCAGTGGAAGCGCCTGGTGGACGCTCCACCGCTTGTCAGCGCGCTGATGCTGATGCTGGTGCTGGTGCTGGTGCTGGGGCCGGGGGCCGGGGTGGCCCGAATGCCGCTGGTCCTGGCCGACGACTCCGAGCCGGCGGACGAGCTGCCGGCGACACGGCCGACGCATTGATTTCTGTGACACAATAAAAATATTGGTTCATTTCAATTCCTGCTTCTGTGTATCTGTTGCGTTTACATCTTTCTCCACGGTATCATAGGTAATGTAATCCAGTATTTAGAGGTCAGTTATGCACATTACAGTTGTTTATTGCATAAAAAGTTATCGAAAAATGAAGTTACGGGCGAAGTATAAATCACGTCTAAAAATAGACTGAATCCCAACGTTGAAATGAAGTATAAACTTAGACTAGACGTCTATGTCTTTTGCTCAGTGGGATGGCAAAGCATGCGGACATTTGTGTGACACGCCACTTACCCTATAATAATAATTGCCACCACCCGCTGCTCAAACGGCGTGAGGGTCTCCTCCCCCGGACCCCCACCTGTCTGGCCGGTACTCCTCCAGAGGGCAGCTGTACGCCGCTTGACCTCCACCTTGAGGTCCGACCACTTTTTTTTTTATCTCCACGGGGGTGCGTGTCTCGGAACCCACCGCGTTCACCCTCTTGGAAACTTTCTCCCACTCCAAGCGTTTTCGTTTTGCACTGACGCCACTGGACAGGCTGCCAAACAAAACACGCTGTCGCTCCTCCACCTCCGCCACCAGCACCTCCACCTCGCACGCCGTAAATTTAGTTTTTCTTGTCATTTTGTCTGCGTGCGAGGACAGGGAGACCCTATTTAAATAAATCTGCATATTTATAGGAGGGCATAACGGGGGCCGGCCCAGTCACTCCGACTTCTGCGCTCAATTCCAAGCTGATTGGGATTTATCAAGGAAACACACGTGGCTTTCGGCGCCCGCACACCTTGATACATACGGATTTTTTTCAGCGTGACGGACCTTGCGTGCGCTCATTTCTGGTATGAGTCCCACGCAAGTGTTGATAGATGAGGCCCCAGGCTAGTCCATTGATTTTGTTCAGGGCTGCAGCCTTTCCACCTCCTAGAAATAGAGACTATCCAACATTGGTGTTGGGAGCAGTCCAGGGGTCAGGTGATGTATGGTGTAGTCTGGTGGGCTAATCAGCGTCGGTTGAATTCACAGAGTTCATTCCTCATGTCGTCCTCCTTTGCGTCTGTTCATCTGTACGTCGTTTGTCCTCACGTCGGTCGTCCTCGCGTTGTCGGGGTTGGTGGTTTGGATCGTCTGTTGGCTTCGGGACCTTCCTGCAGTGGCTGGCGTGAACCCTACGTTGCTCTCTCAGCGATCTTCACAGTGGTATGTGTCATCAGAAGCACCTGGAATGGACCTCGTCACCGTTTGGAGTGCCAGTGCTTCCTTCTCGAGTCCTTTATCATCACCCAGTCGCCAGGCTGGAAGTCGTGGAGGGATGTGGAAGCTGGTGGTGGAAGGGCTGATTTCACCTGCTGGGAGATTTGAGAGAGAGTGCAGGATAAGTTCTTGCAATATTGAAGCACGTCATCCTCACATAGGCCAGTGGAGGGGAGTGGCCTGGTTACAGGCTCCACTCCTAGGGACGGGGGTCTGCCCAAAAAGAATTTCAAGAGGACTCATGTTTACTCTGGATCTGTTCCTCATTCTCATATCCATTAGAACAATCCGCAGAGCTTTTGTCCATGGCAGTCCCATTTCGTCACAACATTTGGCCAATTTTGATTTCAGAGTGCCATTCTCTCATTCTACAGCACCCCCACTGGCAGGGTGATATGTGCAAAGTTGTCTGGGGTCAATGGCAAGAAATTCACTGATTTGGGTTATTGCAGAATTTACAAAGTGAGAGCCATTATCGTTGTTCAGTTGGTATTTCCCATCTGCGAGTGATTTCTGTTAACAGAGCCTTTGCTACCACTAGGTGACAGCTCTATGAAATCCATCATTAAG